ATGAATGTGGCAAAACTCATTTTAGGGGAATTTCATCGAGAATAGGGCAATTTTTTCTGGAATTGCGGGGAATTAGCCCCAGGGGAGTTGGCATCCGTGGTAGGAATACGTACATATGTATGTATTTGAATGTATTCATTGAACTACACCCAGGTGTAGGACAGCTATACATTAAGGCGTATCACAAACAAATTTTTAGCGTGTGTTAGTTTTATTTGAATTCTTATGTCAAGAAAAAATTTTGAGTGTAAAGATTTTTGTGTGCACCCGCTAAAAACCGGTAAAACGCATTTTTTGCAATAACTTTCTTATTTGCTATCCGGTTTTTTAAATTTTTATGTCACCGAAAAGGCCTCGCTTATGAATAAATTGAATAGAGCCTAACCTTCTTAGCAAGGTCGTCAACGTTTTTTGAGGGCTTTAGATTTATAGTATAAAAATAAAAATCTAGGGATAGTAATTCCAAAATTAGTGAAGGTATAAATTGAAATGGTTTTGAAGGCCAATTATGGTCCTGAGCGCGACTTTTTCAGCGACATAAAGATTTAAAAAATCGGATATTAAATAAGAAAGTTGTAGCAAAATACGCGATTTAGTGCCTTGTTTACATTCAAAATTTTCTCGCGAAATAAGTGTTTAAATAAAACTGACCCACTCTAAACATTTTTCTTTCGTACATACTATGTATACACACATACACCACCTTGCACAGTTTTCTTTAACACTTAGGGCCGTTTTCTCATCTAACCTTTAGAGTATCGGCCACTTTATCCTCTCGATATACGAGTTTTCGTTTTCTCATCAGCGCAATAATTTCTCGAATCGATAAATTGTTGCTCACCCGATGCAACCTTTACAAATTTGAACCCAACTTTAAATTTTGGTTTGGTTTAGGTTCATGAGTCAGATATATTAGATATTCCAACCAAGGTTTTGGTTTTTGTTAACAGTTGCTCTTGCTCTATATTTGCTTATGTTGCATTGCTAACCTTTGAAATTTTATGACGAATGTATTGAAGTTTCACTCTCGGAAGTGTAGTGAAGTTTCACTCTACGGAATAACAAATTGATTTTTACCGGTAAGATAAGAAAACGAAAACACTTTAAAGTGAGGAACAATTTAGTTGCCCTGTTAGTAAAGCCAACTTTACTGCTTACATTAGAAAACGGCCCTTAAATGTTCTACTTTCAGCTAGTCTCCTTTTGTTGTGGTAAAGTTAAGGGACACAACAAACCAACTAATATAGGCTAGATCGTGGTTTTTCAAACTGTACGAATCCTGCAAAGGTGGTAAGTGAAGCCTGCAAAGGTGGTAACGGGGCTCTTACACGATATGTATTTGCATATGCAAACGCTACTTTTTTGCTTGTACTCGTATGTATCATATATTAAAACGTATCAGAAAAGTAGCATTTACATATGGAAATACATAGCTTGTAAGAACGCTTTAAGCTAAGCCTGCGAATGTGGTACGCGCTAGAGTGAGGTTCATTTGGAAGTACGCGAAGCCAGCAACGGTGGTACGCGGCAAATAACATAGAATTTAAATGCGATGCACATTTCGATGTGTTCCCCTATCTATACGCGCCACCCTAAATCTTATTTTTTGCCCGTACGGGCAAGCGACCCCAAACCACGGGCAAACATGAAGAGGGCAACAAATCTTACTAATACATAAATACCAATGAGAGCCACTGAACACGCATACTGGGGTAAAAAGGCCCACTCTACCAAACGTACACCACACACACTCCCCGTCATTTGAATAGCTCAACCTTTTAATTCCTAGACTAGGAATGGGCTAAAAAAGTGCATATCCGAATTTTTACTAAAAATATTTTTAACTTATTCACTGCAGGTCATTAGTTGACATTTTTTAAGAACTGTTTCCAGCTCTCAAGAAGAACGAAAAAATCATATAAAATGCTGCCCAAGAAATGGAAAAGAAATTTTCTTTTTAGGTTTTAATTTGTATAAAATTTTAAAATTTAATTTACCCGAGAATATGGTATATTTTTCTTCTTCTTCTTATTTGGCGCTGTAACCGCCTAAGCGATTTTGGCCGAGTCCAAAACAGCACGCCAGTCATTTCTCTTCTGTGCTAACTGACGCCAATTGAAAATGCCAAGTGAAG